TCCATAGAAGCAGACATCATTGCTGACATTGTAGCTGCTAGTTTCTGTCCCCATTCTTCAATTATCTCCTGGAGTATTTCAAACGTCATACCATTTTCTGTCATTTTGTCCCAATGCTGACCAAAGACAAAAGGCAAGTCCCCGCCCCCATCTTTTTCTTTTTCCTTTTATGCCTGGAATCGTTAGCTCCCTCTAGTGTCCAAGGTCTGAAATCACAAAGCCTCAAATTTCAGTTATGACTTAAGGTAGACTAAACAATTTAATTCCCACAAAGGTGCTGTTTATTTATATAATTATTTCCAAAATCTTATAGCAAAAGTCCTAATGTTCCAAATTCGTCTGGTCCCTTAATTAGTTTGCAACTTTCCTGAATTAAAATTTATTTAGCTTTTGCTGTTTATTTCAAAATTTTTAAAATTCTTAAGCTTATAGTTAATTTTTCTTTTATTCTGGAATGAAGGTAAACTCACCAGGTGGCTTTGCAAACTTGTTGCTCCGAAGGTCTCTAGTAGCCTTAAGATAGTTAAATAGGTAATTTCCAAAAGTGATTAGAAAGTGAGATTAGCGAACCCAGTGTCTCCGCCGCAGTTGAGAGCATGATGGCTTTTCGTCTCCTGGTGCTCAAACCCATAGGAAACCTGCAGTCTCCTCATGAGGAGCAGCCGTCTGAAGCACGAGTGAGCAATCTCCTGTCCTCTCCTTATCCGGAGAGGGTCCGTGGGACCAGACATCTCTGCTCCTTCGGAAATGTGCTAGCTCACCATTCCTCACCCAGAAGTCCCTGATTAGGTGATGATGATATGATGATGATGATGATGACCATTAAAGACCATAGGAGGAGGTGACATGACAGTGATGCAATTATTTTACTAGATGGAGAAGGGCTAGAATTGTTATCATTCTGGGAGAAGAGTTTTTTTTCCTTTAGTACACTTACTGAAGGCCTAATACATTACTTCTTTAACACACCACTGTAATTTGGCAGTTTGCCACAGAATAGCAATAGTGTGATGGTGGAGAGAGGGCTGCCTGTGGTCCACGAACCACAGGTTTCCAGTCTATGTTTACAAGTCTGCATGAAAGAGCCCCGACTGCTCACTCTTTGAATTCTATCTGAGCAATCTTGTTTTCCTATTAAACCCTCCCCCCAATATGGGAGATTTCCTAGATACTCCAGTCTGCCTGTTGCCCTAGTAACTTAACTCTTTAAATCTAGCTTGGATTAAAATCCCAATATGAAATGTCACATCTGGAAGGTACCCAGCAGGGTTGTTTTTTTCTTAATCAGAGTTGCAGGTCACATAGTAGATTAGGCATTTAATCACCCTGTGTATTCACTTGCCTCTCTCCCCAATACCACCATTTTTCGCACTCTCAGCAGGTTGCGAAGGCTTACGTAAAAACAAGTGGAAAATTTGCTAATTAGAGAAAATTCTCTTCAGAGCAATTATGCCCATTTCATATCCATTCACCTCTGAAATAAATTGTTTTTAACCAGTTGTAATAGCTGGTTGGTGGCTGATTGCATAACCTTGCTTTCTCTTGCCATGACCCCTTGATCGGCCACTGGAGGTTTTCTTCATTGAATCCATCTGTGATGATCCAGACATTATCCAGGAGAATATAAAGGTAAAACTCCTCCTCTTTCTATGTCTTCAGTCAGATGTATTGGTAGTGTTTAAGGTCTGGAAGAGTGCTAAAACCAACTCATTATGTTAAATTGTATCTGTCCACGTTCAGGGACATTCATTTGCATTGTTCAAAGGGATGGGGCTTAGCCATCTTTAAATTCACCCTGGTTTGGTGCAAGGGTTTTGCATGGTATTCAAAAGTAACCTGACAATCAGCTATTACCAACTGATAATTGGGCCCGTTTTGGACAGGGGTTTAGCACCATCCTGGAATAGTGCTACTGTGGAATATTATTATTGTGTTCCAGAAAAGTGCTAAACCTGTATTAAAAAGCAGCCTGAAACAACAGCTGATACGTGCATGAAGAGGTGAGCTGTGAAGCACCAGAGAGAGCAAGCTAGACAGTGAACTGTATTATTCATTCATTCATTCATTCATTCATTCATTCATTCATTCATTTATTCATTCCATTGAATTTATTATAGCCACCCACTCCAACAGACCGGGTGGCTTACAAAATCCAGTACAAGATAAACCAATGAAAAACACAAACAAATCAGCCTGAATTAAAAACAGCCAGTAAAAGATGGTGCAACAGCCCCCCCCCCAACATTAACACTGGACCTGGGACCAAAGCCAGGTTTTAAGGGCTTTTCGGGACCCTAGGAGAGTGGGCACCATCCATATCTCTGTGGGGATGCTGTTCCGGGGGGGGGGCGCGAGGGAGAAGGCACACTTCCTAGGTCCTACAAGATGGCAACATTTAATAGAAGGGACCTGAAGTGCACCCACTCTGCTCAAATGTATTGGGTAGGCAGAAACAAGGGGAGAGAGGCGGTTCCTCAGATAACCAGGCCCTATGCCATCAAGGGCTTTAAAGGTAACAACCAGCACCTTGAATTGCACCCAGAAACCAAATGGTAGCCAATGCAGTGGTGACACATGAGCACAATGAGAAGTTACTGCTTGTGCTGCTGAATTTTGAACCAGCTGTAGCTTCTGGATGGTCTTCAAGGGCAGCCCTATATAGAATTGCAGTAGTGTAATTGTTAGGTGACCAGGGTATGGGTGACTGTCTACAGGGCCTCTCGGTCAAAGAAAGGGCACAACTGGTGCACAAAATATACCCATGCAAAGGCCTTCCTGGCCACAGCTGCCATCTGCTCTTTGAGCAGTAGCTGTAAGTCTAGGAGGACCCTCCCCACCTCCAAGTTGTACACAAGTCTCGATGGGGAAGTACAACCCCATCCAAGATGAAAGATGCAAATGCCCCCAGCCTAGGAGGATCCAACAGCTACAGCCACTCAGTCTTGTAAGCACTGAGCCAATGTCTGTTTCTCCCCATCCAGCCCCAACCAGTCTCCAAAAAATGGATCAGTACCTCAACAGATTCAGTTGCACAGCCTGGGGTAGAGATGTAGAGCTGAGAACACCTCCTTCCTCCCTGGCTTTCTAGACTTATACTATCTGGATAATAACATAAATCTCCAGGCTGGTTGGGTGCCACTCCATCATGTTCTCTATCCCCATCCTATGTTGTCCTCTTGCCTGGTCTACCATCCATAGCAAGTGAAGCTAACCAGCCCTGATTATAAGGATTGTAACCGGGATGAAGTGGTGGAGGATTTCCTCAAGCGGATTGAGTGTTACCAGAAAACCTACCAGCCATTAGATGATGAGTTGGACAGGTAAGGAGCGAAGTCTCTACAAGTGATTTTTTTGGGGAAGGCACATCCAAGGTCATCTGCATTGCAAGCTGTTTGAATCTGCCATGAGTTCCAACACTTGGCATCAAAAAGATACCAAACTTAAAAATCCAAAAAAGCTTGCACTGCTCATGATGGCATCAAAAGTTTTGGGAAAAGCTTTGTGCCTTCTACTAAAGTAAAAAATGTGAACTAGCAAGAACTGCCTTGCTGGATCAATTTGAGTACAGTGTCCACAGTTTCAGCAAGAGACCCCTGGATACCCACAAGAAGTTGTTTAGGGAGTGGAACGGAGAAATGATGGGTGGGAAATGGAAGCACCTGCTGCTTCTTCATGCAATACTCACAAACAAGTCCAAATACAACAGTGCTTTATTTCCTGCATGTGCATGTAATGAAAATAAATTAAATATATTCTATAACTGGCACCACATTTTACTGGTCAGTTTTATCTGGGCTAGGGAATTTCTTATTTGTGGAAATGGGTAAACTGTATATATTAGGTACTGACAGAAGGAACTTCCACGCTGCCAGCATCATTTCTACCTCCTGATCTCTCACAAAGCACCTGGAAACAGTCCACCATCCCCTTCGCTTCTGCCTCTCATGATGCACAGAGAGCGCCTATCCTCTTTCCTTCCAGCCAACAAAGTATGTTATCTAATCCATGTCCCATCACCAGAAGCATCTGTGGGAGGGAAGGTGCCTAAATGACTAAACATGTGTGCCATCATGATGCAAGCTTCACCCCTTTTGTAGGCGTGTTGTGGCACCACACACACACACACACTCACACACATGAAGGGGGCAGAAATTGTGTCATCGCGATGATGCAATGCTCTTTTGTCATTTTGACAAAATCGTCAGATTTTGTAGCTGCACCTGAGTTACCATCACTTGTACAGTTACAAATGTCCCTTCTCCCCCCAGTTTGCTTTCAAAAAGAAAGTAAAATGATATCTAGTAATCTGCACCTTCGTATTTGTCGGTATATATGTAAACAAAACATATATACAGTACCAACAAAAAAACACTGAAATCCTCTCAAGGCTACCTGGCCACCATTCTTCTGTTGCACTTAAAAGTCCCTGTGAGATATGCAGCTGAAATGATAGCAGGTCGACATTTTTACAACCAAGCACTTTTTCCCAACAGCTGTGAGCATGTTTGCACGTTGAAACAACAACTGAGTTAGCAGGAAGAGAATAATTAAGCCCTAAACAATGCATACAGGAAAAGGCAAGGTTTGGAACAGATTTGGAACTCTCTATGAAGGGTGGGGAGAAGAAAATAATGGAGAAAGGGTGGGGAAGACAGAGTAATGAGAGTAAGTTACTGGGAGGCAAGATGAGGCATGAATTTCTACCTGGGACTAAATTAATGTCTTAGAAAAATTGGAGTGATTCAAAGGAAATTACTAGCATTGCATCAGTTCCAATAAATTGGACCAGAGTCAGAAATAAATGATGCAGCTCCTCAGAACAGTTACATGAGATCAGTAGAGTCCAGAGCCAATCTCAAAATGGCATTCTTTCTGCTAAGGAAATCTAAGCAAGTATCTTTTATTTAACCCAGCCATCTTCCCTGAGTTTTCCAGTAAAATACTATCCATTTTCCAATTGTCCATCTGTTAACAAAGGTTAGGAACTTTTTAAAAATGCTGAAATTCTCACAGTCCTTGCTAGCTACCTGATTTGCATCAGAGACTAGAAATCATCTCTATAATCCTATTTTCTTGCTATTCTAATACTGATATGTACTAGAGCTATGTATAATACTCCAAAAATTAATCTTTGCTTGTTTAATTTTGTGATGTATATTCTACCTGCATTCTTTTTGATCAAAAGTTAAAATTCCTATGAGAATATACTGTAGGAGACACCCTCAGAAAATCTAAACTCTATGATGGGCCTCATCTTATATTTTACTCTGGTAATACAATCTTTTCTAATCTGATACCTTGTGACTACAACTCCCAAAATTACAAGCCCAACACATTTGGACATAAGGTTGGGGAAAGCTGTTATAATTTTGGAGAACATTTAATGCTGAACATTGGTAGTAAAATATTAGATGGCAGGAGCTAATTATGCTGGTTAAAAAATGCCACTTTTTTTTTTTTGTTGAAAACTAATATTAAAGAAAAGCAGGTGCTAAGAAATGTTGAGTGCTTAATCCATGGGAGTGGTGACTTGGTTGCTCCACAAAGTTGTTGAGTTAAACTCCCAGAAAGGCTGTGATGGATGGTGAGGAGGGCTGAGAGTCATAATTCAAACATCTGGGAAGCCAGAGTTTCCCCAGTCCTGATTACAACTAAAACAAGGATTAGCTTCTACAAATCCATCCAAAAAAATCGATTCTCCCAGGGTTCCTCAGGCCTGTGACTCGGTTATTCTTTTTACTGTAGTTCCCTGTCCTACATTAAGATCTTCAATGTTGGCAGCCGGTACCTAGTGAATAGGGTCCAGGACCACGTACAGAGTCGCACGGTCTATTATCTGATGAATATCCACGTGACACCCCGCTCCATCTACCTCAGTCGGCACGGGGAGAGTGAGCTTAACCTCCGGGGACGCATTGGGGGTGATTCTGGACTGTCCGAGCGGGGCAAACAGGTATGATTATCGTATTGTTATATCTTGGTATGTTGTTCCACATAAGCTGCTTCAAGTCAGGCCAAGCAACATAAAAGCATTAGCAGTGGGTAAATTCAGCAGTTTGGTGTAGTGGTTAAAGCACCAGGTTGGAAACCAGGAGACAGTGAGTCCTAGTCCTGCTTTAGACACAAAGCCAGCTGGGGGACCTTGGGCCACTCACTCTCTCTCAGCCCTGGGAAGCAGGTAAAGGCAAACCACTTCTGAAATCTTGCCAAAAAACCTGCAGGGACTAGTCCAGGCAGTTGCCAGGAATCAAGACTGACTTGGAGGGACAAAATTCAGGGGAATGTCCTAATGCTAATTCTTTTTTTTTAAGCACTGTGGGACTGGGTTTTTTTGGCTGCATCAGACTAAAAGAGCTGTCCCTCTGAAAACGTTTAGGGAGCAGCCACATAGGAATCTTCAGAATGAATATATCCCAAAAATTCAAACACTGGATTTTTTATTGGGTTTACATAAACTGATTAAAATTGGCCTGGTTATAAACCACTATTATCAATTATAAACTGGAGGCTTTTATCCCAAAGCATCTGCTCCCCCACAAATGCTAAACTCCCTTACATCTTTTCACCTACTTTCCATGGAGTTTCTAGAACTTGCTGTAGCCTTTTAAAGAGGAGAATCACAAACCTGCACCCATGAGGGGGTTGGATGTTCAGTATGTTGGCTGCCGTTTACTTGATGACAGCTATAATATTTGATGAAGGATATCCTCATAAGATTTTCCACCCAGGTTCCCCTTAGAAATGCATGGATCTGGGAGCTCCAAGTTAATCTCATGGTCCACACTGTAGTGAAAGCTTAAAGACAGGGCTTGCGTTCCTTCTCTCAAATGCCAAGTGTAGATTCTTAGAAAAGAAGGGCAGGAGCTAAGTATCCTGTTTTTGGCTTACGGCAAATGCACTCAGTCCCTTGGGGGATTCAGGTCTCACTTCTTTTTGTACCTTTTTCCCTCCCTCACTTTCTTTGTCAGTATGCCTACGCCTTGGCCAGCTTCATCCGTTCCCAATACATCCGTGACCTCAAGGTCTGGACAAGCCATATGAAACGCACAATCCAGACAGCAGAAGCACTGCACGTGCCCTATGAACAGTGGAAAGCATTGAATGAGATTGATGCGGTGAGAAGCTACGCTTAACACAGCCCACTCCTAGTTCTCAAATTGGGAGGCAGCCCTTAAGGTGGCACACTTCTCTCACTCTCATTTGCTCCAATTTGCCTCCTATGACTAAGAGAGGCCAAACTCTCAAGACCAGAGTTCCTTGTTTAGCCCCCTCCCATGGAAAGCATGTGAGGGACACCTGATACCTTGATTCTTCATAAACCTTCCTTCAGCTGACTTTTCCTCCCCATGCCTAGAACTCAGAGGTTCCAAACCTTGCATCTGTTTTAGGGTGTCTGTGAGGAGATGACCTATGAAGAAATCCAGGCCAGTTATCCACAAGAGTTTGCCCTGCGAGATCAGGACAAATACCGCTACCGCTACCCTAAAGGAGAAGTAAGAACTGTGCAATCTGGAATCTGAGCACATTTAGTTAGCATGTCACAAAAGGGGGAAATGAATGGACAGATCCAACATGTTCCCAAGAATAGAGGTGGATGGGGAAAGAAAGTATAACGGCTAATCAAAGATACAAATCTTTCTAAAGAAAAACGGCTAAATTTGGAGCCACCCTCAAGGGGTTACTTCTAATGAAAAGCAGGAGAAAGATTCTTTTCTAAATAAACACCAACATAGAGGTCTCTCCAAATCTCTTCCTTCAGTCCTATGAGGATTTGGTGCAGCGGCTGGAGCCGGTCATCATGGAGCTGGAGCGGCAAGAGAATGTGCTAGTGGTTTGCCACCAAGCTGTCATGCGCTGCCTCCTTGCCTACTTCCTAGACAAGAGTGCAGGTACCAGAGTCCCTTTTTCTGCCCTGCAAGACCTTCCTCTCCCCCTTCCTTCCTGATTCAGCCTTCTCATCCAAGAGCCTGGGAGGCAGATGGTGGGAAAGTCTTCAGTGTACGATTCTTCCCCCATATAAGGCGTTTCCTCTTCCACAGTGGAAACAAATGGAGTTTCCTCTTTTAGACTGCAAGAGGAGGTTGCGTTCACACATGGGATGGGTACATAATTGTTCTTATGCACTAGTCCTTTCTCTTCCATAGGCTCTTTGTGTGTAATTCTGGAGATTGGGATCCCTTTTGTCTCACTTGCCATTCTCATTTTTCAGAGGAATTGCCGTACCTCAAGTGCCCACTGCACACTGTTCTCAAGCTCACCCCTGTGGCGTATGGTGAGTCACTTCCTTCCTCCTGGGCAAAGGTCTGTTTGGATGGTAGATGTCTGCTTTGGGAGAGCACTCAGAGGTAGCCAGTGATTATGCAATGAAGACGAGTTTATTGCGAAACAAAACATGTTGTGCCCATATTGCTACCTAAAGCATGGCTATCTAATGGGGGTTGGGAGTAAACTGTTCTCCAATGCTAATAACTCCCTCCCACTTTGTGGCTATGGGCAGTCAGTCATTGATACAGTCCTTCAAGCACTTCTCCCGCTTGCATGGATACTTGGGAACACGCAGGGAGAAGTAGCATTATCCATAAAGCTGTTCTTCAAGTCATTCTCAACTTCTGCTGATTTCATGATACATCTTGGCAACAATCTGTCAGAGGTATTTTAATGGACCCTGCCTGGAGTGGGGTTTGCCACTGCTACCTTATTGATCTTTCTGACTTCTCTGTCCACTGTAAGCTACAGTCCTAGTACTTCTTGCTGCTCTACTAGCCAAGTCCAATCCTGCTTAGCTTCTCCAGGGTCAGCTAAGATCAGTTGGGTGCTGCCACCTAGCTGGACCACAGCTGTTAAACATCTACCTGAACAAGGCTACTCACCTCCTTCTCTTACATTAATCTCTGCACACTGCACAGTGCCGCACTTCTGTCAACAACCAGGAGCTCAGTTGGCAACAACTGCCATACTGGAGTTCCAGTCTTTTTCTTTCTGCAACACAGCTGCTTAATTAAAAGGAAAAAACAGGCAGTTCCAAATCAGCTACTTATTCCAACCAAGGCAAGTCACAACTACTTTCAGAGAAGGGAGTTTGTCCAGTCCTAGCATGTAATCCTGAAAGCAATAAAGTCACTGGCAGGTAGTGAGTGTTTGGAACTGCCATCTACTTTCAGTTATCACTGAAGTTTATTCTTTTGTGGTTTATTCTTTTGGGGACAGGCTGTGAGGTGGAATCTATTTTTCTCAATATTGAGGCTGTGAATACACACCGGGAACGTCCCAAGGTAAGCAGGATTCCTGTCAGATGGGAGAAGGTCTCATATGAAAACCTCTGGAAAGAGGTTGTGGAAGAAGCTATGATTGGCTTGTATGACCCAAGGCCTCTCAGCCCCATCATGTATTCTTGGTTATGGACTTGACAGGAGGTCCTGTTAAAGATCATTGTATTCAGAGTTGCATCTCTCTCTCTCTCTGTAATATTTTCCTCTTATCTTCACTCCCCCCCCCAAAACACCCTTAGCATTTTTCCTACAAAGCTAGCCAGGCCCCCTTGTATCGGCACTATCGCGCCGTGCCAATGGCCAGCCCTGAGCCAACCAAACAACCCTGCTGGAAAGATCTGGGGCGCTCTCCTCCCACTTGCCTGTTTGACCCTCAGGTAAAAGAATCCTCTTCTCCTTAACCTGCCTCCCTAACCTAATTCTGCCACATCAGACTTTAATCAGTGTGCTTTGACGTGCCATCTCAACACTCTTACTAACCTGGCCTTGAGAAATCCCTCCAAAGCCCAAAGATAGGATCTCACCATTCCAGATTATTCACAAGACACAAGAAAATCATATTTAGATGACAAGAACTAGTCAAACATTCTGCAGTGGGGCTATACTGAAACAAGTGGTGGAACCACTCTTCTGTGCCCTACGGCAGAATTGAGAAACTGAGCCAAGATACACTAATGATAATTCTAACACTACACATACTTGACTGTACTAATATAAATGGATGTAAATAGGCCTCAGTTCTTCATTATATTTCCTTTTAAAATCATATTGGTGCCTTAAAGTCTTTCTTTCTTTTCTTGCAGAATGTTGATGTGTCACGAGATCCTGAGGAAGCCCTAGACACAGTGCCAGACCATTATTAAACGTATGCACTAAAAATAAAAATAAACTTACTTTATTGAAGAGGTACTATTACTGATATAGCTATACAGTGCCATCTAGAGAAACATGACTGGTATGCAAGTTCTGAGCTATTTTGTATCGCCCCATACATATCTCATCCAAAAGCAACTCATGGTATAGATCTCACAGCCTAAGATGAATAATTAGTCCCATCTGTTAAATTCTTTAAACAAACGAGGAATAACCAAGCTGTAAACTATGTTTTTTTTTAAAAAAAGCATAATCCTGGCAAACATAAACACCTTTAAAGCCTTTTCTTTCTTTCTGCTAGACATGAGTGCTTATTTCATTCTCTCTTCTGCTGCTCTTCTGCTGAAAGCAGAAGAGAGAATTTCTGAGAGAAAGAGAAAGAGAAGAAGAAGAGAGCAGAAGAGAGAATGAAATAAGCACTCATATCTAGCAGAGGATTCGACTGAAACTTTGCCAGGAGTTTGCCAGTGCCTTATTTTTATTCTGACTGAATACAAGTATCTACAATATATGTCATCTGAAACGAGGTGGCAATTTAATACAGAGAATAAAGCATAGAAAAATAGAGAATTGGAAAATATTTTTATTCCTGGTAAATATTGTATCAACTTATCTCCAGTTCAGAAAATAACAAAGCTAATGGCTGAATAATCATATAGTCTTAGGGAGGAATCTTGTCTACATGACCAGTAAAATGCCTCAGTCTATTCTGGAATCTTTCCCTCACAAACGGGGAACCTATTAAGTACCAAGCACTTTATATGAAATGCGGCTCTTGTATTACTTCCAGTAATAGTAACAGAAAGCAGGCAGTGGTTGTACCCAGTTCCAGGAGAGGAGGTTTTGACAGTTCCTTATAATCCAACACCATCATGTTTATGGCTTTCCTGCAGCACTGGCTTCTGCTTCAGCTTCATTGTACTGGCCCATCCAAGATTTGGGACTCTGGTTTTGTATCTAATCAAGGGAAATCAAAGGAGTCCAATTAGAAAAAAAGAATAAAAAGATGTACCAGGTTCTCTACCATGCCCTCACTCAAGCCACTACTCTAATGGGGGAAAGTAGAAATTGTATGGACATGATTTAGGCTGTACTGCTTTGCTTCCTTGCTTGTTTGCTTATTTATTTTATTTATACCCTTTTCTCAGAGAGCAAAAGATGGTGTACATGGGGGCTTTCTTCTCATTTTATCCACCTAGCAACAATTGGGCAAGCTGGGCAAGGCTGAAAGAGAATAAGGTCAAGAAAAAACTTAAGCTCAGATCTTCAAGTCCAACATTTTAACCAGAGAACTATACTGGCTCTTATCCGAACACTACATCTGTTAAGCTGTTTTGCATTTTAACATCCTAAGACTTGTTTCAAGCGAGTGTGATCCTGCATGACTGCCAAGAAAAAGCTGAGTATATTCAGAAAGGAAAGCTTAGAATTTAAAGTGAGTACTTAGAAAATTGCCAATTTCCTGCAAAGTCCATAACTCCCACCATTCAGTATGCTTTGCTCCTGTTTCTGACGAAATATTAAAAAGGGATTGAAAAGGATACGTTCATGTAAATTAGGCAAAATGTACAACTGTACACACCCATTTATTACTCCAACTTATTCTAATCTTAAAAACTTGGTTTTCCTTTTTGCAGAAGTTAAATATATTACAAATGCCACAAAGTCCAGCCCTTTCCTCTGTCTAGTCAGCACCTTAGCAACAAACTGCAGGATCTGCTTCTTGGAAGTCTCTTTAAAAGCTCGTGGTCCCCACTTGAACTGAAACTCAGGAGGATCTGTGTGTGGGAGACGTGTATATTCCAGATATCTAGAAAGTAAGAATTAGGTGATCAGTGAAAAAAACTTTTGGGAGCACCAAAACGATTATGTAGTAGAATATCTGTGCTTCAGCTAAAAGATGTCATTCCTGCCCTTTGGAAGAAAAGAGTTTGAGATCTCCCAATAGCATGTATTCTAGTTACAATCCCCTTTCTTAAAATAACTCCTTCCTTAAAAGATTCAGATTTTAGCTATTAGAAGACAAGCACAACATTCTGGATTCCCATCTCCCCCTCACTCAAACCTGTATCATCAATTTCTCTTCCAGCATTAAAGATAGCAAAAGCTCTGCAACCCCAACTCACTTTTGCCTGACAAATTCCTCTGTCACTAGCTTTTTCACATCACCGAAGACTTTGTGTTTTCCCCTGAAAAAAAGAATGTCATCCTCTCAGATCAACTGACTAAGGAGATTTTCTTCCCCAATTCATCCAACCCCACTGAAGGATCTGGATTTATGGCTCAGCACTTTTTTCAGAGCAGCTAATCATACCCAGAGCAGTCAATATGTAATCTCCTCAGCATCTCCCAAACGGCAGCTGCATGAAGACAAAGGAAAGGAGAACAGTAAACAAGTGAAGCTATCTAAGAAATATAGTAAATTAAGTAGGAGTGAAACCTACATTCTTTGACCTGGTTGCCTTTCATGAAGATAAGACTAAGTATTACTATAAGGAGGCCCATCTTGGGAGTGTTCTCATCACTGCAAAACAGAAAAAAGGAAGAGATTCAGCTTCTTCATTTGGAAGTGAAGACTGGGGATTTAGTATTGTAAAAGAAACCTGCGTTACCCAGTGAGAAAGAAGTTTTTAAGCCAAACTTTTAACATTTCAGTTCAGGGACTAATGAAAGGAGAAGACTTGCAGATTGCTCAAAGCATAGGATAACATGGAGGAACTCTGTTCCCCAAAGGATGGACAACACAGGTGATTACCCCCGGGGTTCTCCTCAGTCATAGGACCATCACCTGAGATCTCAGTGGTGAATGCAGTGCCCAAAAGCCTTGGTGAGGCTCCCAGTGAAATTCTGTATTACAATTTGACCGACACTTTTCAGTGTGTCAGAAAGGGAAAATGGTTAAATACATGACTGATAATCATATGCTTAATTTACTTAATTTAATATACTTAATTCAAAGTACACTTAAATATAAACAAAATGAAATTTAGATCTGGTCCTGGCATTGGTCACTATTTTCAGTCCATGCCATACCTTTCAAAGGCTAAGTGGCCCAGAAAAAGTTTTTGATCCCTACTTTAGTATCTCAGAAATGCAGGAATATAGAAGCCATTTTATCAGAAAGAACAATTCTACTGCTCATTTCAAAATGCATGTAGAGAGACATTTTTCATGTGCTTTGTACAAGGTTTTATACAAAGTTTAGCCAACACAGACCACACAGAAACAGAGGCATTACATTCCCTCTTTTCCTTACTCATTCATGGTATCCCCTTCCAAAGGAGGAAATTTACTTATCAGGATGTAGGTGTGGTTCTTTGGGTCAATTTCCACTAGTTCCAGCCCAAATACCTGAGAAAGCAGGAAAAAAAAAAAAATCAGAATAGAGCCCGCTTGCTTATTCACTATTATTGCCTCTTCTTTTTAAATGAGAGAAAACTCATGTGCAAACATAGATAAATTAATCATTATCATTAGTTGCATAAATTATCTTGCTCATATTAAATGCCCAGACTCCGGATCACTGACAAAGAGTTCAACTTGAATCAGCATCCCCAACGGTAAGCCTAGATTAGCCAAAATTTAAAATATACAAATATAGTAAAATATATTTACAATCTATGCAGAAATAGAAATTTTTCCATTCCTTCAGGTTAAGCCAGAAATGTCAGTCATTCTGATGACAAGAGCAAATCACTCCGAGTCACAACGCTAGATTTTTATTGCTTATAGTCAACAGAGTATTTCAGCTTCACCATATCTTACAATGACCTTTTCTACATACTCTTGTCGCTTCCTGAAGATTAATAAACTAATTGTCACATAAGCTTTCATGGATCACAGTCAATGCATTTGTTAGTCTTTATGATGCATAACATTTTTTGCAGGATTCCCACTCTGAAAACTTTTCTTCATTGCCCATGTTTTTAAACTGGCTTCATCATCATCCAAGTAGAATGAACAGATTGATCACTTTTGCTTAAATCATTAATGGATTCCTCACCTGTTGAAGGGTCTGATTGGCACGTTTGAGAATCTCAGGAAAGACTTTGTAGTCTTTGATGATGTTTTTCACAATATCTGCAAAAATATAAATAAAGTTGATCTATCAGTTCCTAGGAGTTTGTGCTCATATTCAATCTCGGGTTCTCATGGGCTTCTAGTTGGCAACTGTGGAAGTGGAACTTTGGACTAGACAGACTTTCTTATGCTCCTGTGATGAAGGCTGCTTATACATACAGCAACATTCTGTGGAATGTTGTACATGCTCAAAATAAATAGAGAACAATGAACTTTGTAAATACTTGGAATGATGGCATACATTCCGACAGAAACTTAAAAACAAATGAACAGTCTCTGGTTAGGGTTTAAAACCCAGAGTTTCTAGCATTCGTGACGTAGATGTCCTTTATTTATCATTACTAATAGCCATTTCTTTACTGCCCTGCTCTGTGGTTCTCAAAAGACCTTTCCAAAATACTTCAGTGTTATATATTTGTGGGACGTTTTTAGGTGAAAAGTTATAAAAGCATTAAAATGGAGGAAAGGGGTTCAATGAACTAAAAATAATAAAAATCCTCCAATCATTTGAAAAATTCAGTCTCAGAACAGAAATTATGAAAGGAGAGTATATGCAAATGTGCTTATTCTAACCCTGGAAACAGAATCTGAGTCTCTCTGGTGTAATAAAATAAAAACAAGTCCAGGCTTACCTATCCGTTTAATAGGGATTTTCTTCTGATCTTTGATCAGAAGAAATTGCACCACCTCATTTACCTACAGAGAGAATATAACATAAGTTGCAAGAAAACTTCTGCATGTGGTACAGCTCCATGAGTACTAACCTGAGCTTCCTACAAATATTGTCTTCAGCAGTTGTGGGGCAAGTTTCAGTGTCCCTAGCCATTCTATAACTTTAAAAAAATCTATAGGTCAAGTAAGCTGCTACAATGTACATAACTGCTACAGGTTGTAAAATGTTACTGTACTTTATAAAGTAAAAAGTATTTATTTATTTTAAAACACAGCATGCATAGTCTTTGGTTATAGCCAGCCATAAGAAGAAGCCCACAAAAAGGCATAAAAAATGACCTGCAGACTCACTTTTTGTTCCACTTGACGGGGGGAGTGATGTTCCAAATTGCGTTGTGCCTGACTGAGCGTCTGAGTCTGACTCAAAGTTAATTCTTCATCAACATCCATATATTGTGCCTGGAGAAAAGCAAAGGGATGATTTCAGAAACACTAGATTTGGAGCTGGGCCTTTGCATTTCCACCACTAAACCCATGTGATGGAATGCATATTTACCTGGAAGTAAATCTCATGGAAAACCATAGAATTTACTTCTAGATAAATATGCACAGGGCAGAACTGAGGTAGACTGTTTCACACTGGGAAATTTGAAATAATAATAATACAAAAAATAGGAAATACTGACCAGTCTGTACTAAATGCTAAGACAGATTTGCCAAGAACCTCCTTGAGAAGCTCATGAACCATTCAAGCACCACTGCATGGTTCCTCTTACTGCATGAGAAAATGGCAATGCTAGCAACAAACATGGATTTATTTGTTATATTTCCCCACTTCCATTGGATCCAAGGCAGACAGCACAAGAGACCACACATTCCTATTGCAATGTGTGAAAAAAGGCATGGGTATTTATTTTAATGAGGTAAGGGCTTGAGAATATATATTCATGCAATTCAGGGTGTCACAAATATTTTGTACTACTCTACTCATATCTGAGTACATGAAACATGATGTTCAAGCTAGCAATTTTTGAAACATCACATTATTTCTTCTGTTCCCCTTTTTAACAATGAAAAACTATATATATTTTTACATCCCCTACTCTAAACCTTAGTTATAAGCTAGTCTTCCCCAACAGGTGCCCTCTAGATTTACTGGCATACCTGTGAAGAGCCAGATCCTTTACTATGCCTGGGGTGAGACATGGCTTTGGAAAGAGACCTGAATGGAACAGAAAAATAAAGTTATTATAGCTCATATCCAGCCTCTGGAGGTGCAGCCTGTCCTTAAGCTTTGTCAATTGCACATACACAAGTGACCAGCGAATGGCCTCTTCTACCTGTGAACAAATGGAGGGTTCCCAAGATCCCAACCAGTAGGTCTCCCTCTCTCCAGTTCTGCAAGTAGGTCTCTTCCCAGTATCCAACAGGTGAAGTTTATTCTGGTGGGAAAACCCTGCACTGAACTGAATTTCTGTCCAGGAACAGAAATCAAGTGCCAACCCAGCCACTTCCCGAGTTCTCGTGGCTCCCATATTCCCAGCGGTTATGAGCCCTTCCCCGGGAGGAAAACCCTTGCGCCTTTAGCCGCCACACAGCAGGCAGCAATACCACAGATGGTGCTTATGACAACTCAGCGATGGGGGAAACTGCCCCTCTGGCCTTCCAACCCAGAAAGACAACTTCCTCCTTCCCGCACTAGCAATGCCGGTGGGCTTGAAGGCCAATTCCCAACACGCATATTCAGCCCGCTTCCTTGCTCCCTTAGAAAAGCCACTCACCTTCGTCCCGTCCGGGGTCTCACTGCGCATGAGCCTCCCCTTCCGCCCGGCCGGTAGAGCGTCCTTACGGCGCACGCACGTCAATGTGTACCCCGCCTCCTCCTGCGGAGTGGCGTCTCCTTCTTGAGCGTTGCGTAGCAACGCTTACGGGTGACGAGCGTTGTTCGGTGCGTCCTTCCCCCATGCGGGGCCTGCGCTGGAGTAGGCAGGCCATTTGGGCTGCAAAACTCCGGAAAAGGCGGCAAAGAGACACAGAAATTGCTACATCTTTTCCTATCTGATTCTTATCAGCTAAGAGAATATCTTATTCTCTCCCTGTTTTTGCCTGCTTTTAAATCCCATTTTGCCAGTTGTTTATGGTGTTTGCTTATGTTTAATAAATAAACAAACACCAAGCCATATTTTTGCTAGCTAAACTGAGTGGCATGCATGCTTGCTCTGACCTGGATATATGAACTCACTGGGAGTATGCTGAGTGCAAACTAAATTGGAAATTACTCACAGATATTTTTTGACAGAAAATACATACCTGGAAAATATTGAAGCTGCATAACAAATACAGATGCAGCAAATACAGCTTCAGCATCAGCATCACAGATCACCACTTAGGAACTGGGGCATCTGCGTAAACTATGGATGTGGGGAGAGCCAATGTGAGCAGAATGAATATTGGATGGAATCTCTCGCACAGTTCCACATCCCCAATCTGAAAAAAATGCAGAAACCAGGTAGTGTCCTCAGGCATGGCCATCCAAATGTTATTGCACTGTCTCCTAGAAGGGATAAAAATCTGCTATGAATTATGTGCCACTGTCTTCCTCTAGTGGAAGATGAAGGACCTAACATTGAATAAAGAGGCAAGCAACAGAACCTTAAAGTACAAATCAGGTACAAAGATGTTCTAGTAATGATTCAACTGCTCACACAGACAAAGGTGCCTTTTCTTTTTTGGGGGGGGGATGCCTTCAAGTGACCTTTGACTCCTAAAGACTGCCTGGACAAGTGTATTAATTTTATTGGCAAAGTTTTTTGGAAGTGGTCTGCCGTTGCCTTCTTCCTAGGGCTGAGAGAGAGTGATTGGCTTCATGTCTAAGGCAGATCTAGAACTCACAGTCCCCTGGTTTCTAATCTGGTGTCTTTAACCACCACACTAATCTCTTGGCATCATGTTTGTTTGATTGACTGCATGCCATCAGGTTGGCGTCAACTCTTAACCACATAGATTTTTCTTCAGGAGGATCTGTCCCCAGTCTGGTCCTTCAGGTCTTCCAACGGTGCACCCTTTGCCACTATAACTGAATCCATCCACTTTGCTACTGGTCATCCTCTTCTCTTCCCTTCCACTTTTCCCAGCATTATAGACTTCTCCAGAGAGCTAGGTCTTTGCATAATGTATCCAGAGTAGGATATTTTGGTATCATTTTAGGTAGCCCTAAAAACAATAAAACAAGGTTATGATCTACCACTTGAACTTACATGATTCATTGTAGCTAATAGTGGGAGTTGGCTCTGGAGATGGGGAGTGGGAATCTTGCTATGTGATGTGGCTCAGAGCCTCTTTGTCAGCTATACTAGGTAGATCAGCCCAGAAAATCAACTCCGCAGGAAAACTAGAACTATACTATATTGAGACTGGTTGCAATAACAGAATCTTGCAAGTCTGATTGTACTATACTTCCCCTCCTTATACCTCGGTGAATCAGGGAGGTGTTTGCCTGAGCTGCTTGCAAACATTATTTAGTTTCTCAGGACTTAAAGAACGTTTCGGTCCTCTCTGCCTGGGTAACAGTTCTTGCACGCTTCTGTCAAGGTCACCTCCTTTACTCTCTACATTTACCTCCTGCTTCCCAAGACCATCTTCCATGTAAAGAGAGTTTCTGCTGAAGTAAAGGTGCTGTGGTGGTGTGATGTTGTATGAATGTGTCTGCAAAACTGTATCATTGTGGACTGTTTCCACTGCTACACCCAGGGGCCAGTCCTGCTGGTTTATTCTCTGAGAGCAAGCCGAAGGGAAGATTTGAGTTGCACCAAATGTGTCCTTGTATTATTCCCCACTCCACCCCAGCCCCCCCCCTTATTTTCTTTGTTAGCATTTTCTTTTTCACCTGCTGGGCAAAGTAGTTATAGGATTTGAATGACTATTCTTCCAGCGTAAAGTGGATTACTAAAATCTAGGATTGCTTGTTTACTGCCACTGAATCATCATAAGCTCGGTTTTCAGATGGCTATGGAAGATCCATGCTTTGAAACACAAAATAACATTAGTGAGGAAGTAACTGAAAGGAGAAGGAGAAGGAGAAGGAGAAGGAGAAGGAGAAGGAGAAGGAGAAGGAGAAGGAGAAGGAGAAGGAGAGAGATAGATTTTTCTTAGCATTTAGTTCAGCTCTTAGTTTCTCATATGCTGCAGCAACACTGTAAAACATAACATGTCTTCTGTGCTAGTTTAGTGCAGTTGTTTGTATTTCCAGGAACTGGTATGGGCACAGACCCATTGAATCTTGTCCAGTTTCCCCATAGACCCTGCACTAATTCTTTGCCCCTTGGTCTGAACAACAACATTTTGCTAAGATATTCTAAGTTTAAAAACCTAAACCATTTGGATTTTTCTTTCCAATCATTCATCTGCACTGTTGCTTTTGGAAGTGAAATTTTTCAAAATTATTCTGGTGATTAAAAAAAAAAACATGCCTGTAATAAATCTCCTCCTTCTTGCCTTGCAGATCAAAGAGGTTTGAGTTTTTTTAATTTCACAGACACACATGCACAGAGAAGGAAAAATGAAGGGAAGCCTTTTTTTCTGAGCTAAATGCCACATCTTCCTGAATAGGATAGTTTTTGAAATAAGAATTATAGATTACATACAGTTGAAAGGTACAGGACATCTAAATAATCTTCTCTTGTGCACAATTTTTTAAATCAGGGCTATGTAAGTTGAAGATCCAGGGGCAGCAAAGTCCTGAGGTGAAAGTAAACTTCAACTTTGTTTACATTCTGGGCCCACTGATGTCTTTATCGTGAACCCCTCTCTTTTTGGGGTGGAGCTTAATGCTCACATGACAAGTATATTCCTGATTTAAATGTTGCTCACAGATGGGCTGTTTGTGACTATCATCTGGTTTTAAGATTTGGCACAATTACTTCAAAAGGAAGCACAGCAGACATTTTAGTAAAAGCTTAGTCAACTATTATGTTAAATAAGTTTTAGTGCTAAATAATTTTTTTCTTCCCTCCAAATATCTGGGTGTACAATTTCCTGAATTCCCAGGCTAAGGGAAGGCTGGTATAACTCTTCATCTGAAATTTATTCATGCAATGAAGATTCTCCTGTAAAACTCCTTTTAACATTTCTGTACAATTCATACCCTAGTTAGCTAATTTGATATCCTTAGCTGAAAAAATCGAAATGGCACCCCTCCTCATTCACATGACCCCAAATCCAGCAGGAAATTACTTTGCACAACCTTCATTCGGATTACAGAATAGCTGTGCCCGAATGAGCCATCATGTATTTTCCATGCAGAAGATTCCAAATTTAGGGCTACCATATCTGAGCTTCCAAAATCCAGACAACCACAAGATGGAAGCAAAGAGAGAGAGGCACCTTTGACTCCTCGAGGTTTCTGCAGCCCGACCACCTATCTTTCCATCTTTCTGGTGCAGAGTAGACAAAATATCTTGCTGTGGATGTACTAATTCATTCGCTTGAGCTGAGCTCCTGGATCCTATTAGTGAAAGTTTCACTGCAGAAAACAGTTTCTTTAATTGTCAGAAAACACAGGAATATCTAGCAGGAGGATTCAGCGAGAGATGCTGAATACTTGCAGTACTTTAATATTCCAGAATTTATTTTTTTTAAAAAAAAGCATCCATGTATACAAAACAACTACCAGAAGCACAAAAAGGGAAGTTGCTTTGGAAGAAACTTTAAAGTGGCCACGACAAGAATGTGGAAATTGAAAAACATCATGAACTTCCCACTGGTATGAAAAGATTTCTTGGAAGAATTCCTTTTCAATAAATACACATAAATACATAATACACACAGTTGGGAGGACCTTTTATAAAATTGCAGTTTGGAGGGAACAGCAAAGCAAAAAGAGGACCAAAATATGAAAGAAGACTTTGCCAGTTAAGATGCCAAAGACCAATGACACGGGAAAGCTTTTTTTCCAATGGAGCAAAGCTACTTGAAGAGAATTGAACAAAAATGCTGCAAACATTCATGTTTACAGGTTGGTTAGAAAATGGAGGTGGGAGGATGTGCCAGGCCTGAAACCCAGCTTACATGGTGAGATGGAGTGACTGAGCACCTTCAAACATGCAAGTGGGGCCTTCTCAGGAACAGCGTAGACCTAGGTTGCTATAAGGGCTCTTCAAAAGCTCCTGGGAAGAAGTGTCATGCAAACATTTGAAAGTCTCCATTTTAGGAAAGATAAATATGCCTATTCTTAGATTCAAAAGTATCCCATCGTGTACCTCAAATATTTGCAGCAATTTTGTACAATTTTTGTTGGTCTAATAGAAGAATGGATTTGAGATTTTTTTTTTCTCATGGCCAACTCCATTATTTATTTTTAGCGACCTATATGTGTAGAGAGAGAGAAAATGAATGTGAGAGTAAGAAAGAAAGAGAGAGAGGGGACTCTAGCTTAATTTGGACACATTATGGCTGAGTTCACTAGTCATGGGTGTTTAAACTTGTTTGTTGACTAAATTACAGTAGAGGAGTACAAATCATAGTTTACAAACCACCCAATGGCTGTGTTTACACAACATTGTAGGCCAAATGCAAACCAACCACATTATGGCTTAGCTCTATGTGTAAAGCCAGTCGATGAGAATTTTGCAAACGCTGGCAGAAGAATATTAATGAGGCATCAGGATAGATGTGAAGGAATCATTTGTAAGAAATAAGCAGCTTTTAGAAGGGGAAAAAATTGGGAGAGAACTTGAGTCTTTGAGACCTGCAAGCCAATGTGCTTGTTTATCCTACAGTTTGGGCAGTAGAAAGAGAAATATTTTTCTTTTACCAATATGAGGGAGGTTTCTTTTCTGAAAAGTAGGAGGATTAAACCAGGACCAAAAGAAGCTGAGCTGGGTAAGTTCACTAAGATCCCACAACTCAGGAAATCTCTCCCTTCCTGGTTTATACAAACAAACATACACATACATTCTGAACTAGGGAATTTTCTGTTCTCAATTTTGGAACCAGTCCTTGGCATATTTTTGGCTTCTCCTGTCGAAGGACTTTGCAGCAGGTACACTTTGGGATCAATGTTGATAACTTTGCAATGACCTTCTCCTGTCCCCTTGACTATTTGGACCTATTTCTGCAACATATTTGTGGATTTTTTTTTTCCAGAGTCCTCACCAAGTGTGGAAAACAGAACAGACACGGGCTCTTCAGAATATTTTGTTTTCATTTCATCTTATGGAGTAGTGAGCAAAACTGGCCACCCTCCAGTCTTGGATGCATGGACAATCAAGGCTTGTATCAGGATGAATGCTACATTTATAGGTCCTTTTAAAAAAACAAGAAGAAACCTGAGGTTCAAAAGTACGAAGGAAAGAGATGCCAAGGAGGCGTTCTCATCCACAGTGCCTTCCACAAAGACGAGGCAAAACTTTCCTGCCAGCCATGGACCAGCTCCGGGGATCTCTCTTCTTTCTCCTTCTGATTCTGGCACCTTTAAGCATCGTGGGACATCCTCTTCTAACCCAGGTACCTTCCCATGAGGTAAGTCCTAGGCAAGGGGGCGAACAAACGTCAGCCCCAAGGTATGCCTTGCTGCTGATTTCCTCTTTTGTAGCATTCTTTCCCCTCACCCTTCTTTTTATTTTTAGCAAATGGAAATTGTGGAGGGAATAAGGCCACTGGAGGCAGCTGTGCCCAATGGTTCTTCGAGCACAGTGGAATCCTAAGTTTTGCTCCTCACTTTGTAAAAGGGAATGGGATTGAGGAGCTGGAGAAAGGAGAAATCTAGCAGTGTTCTGCAATAATTTGCCAAGGATTGTACAGTAAACCATTGATGGAAAATAGCAGGTGTATGCCTCTTTGTAGGAATCAGAGGGCAAACCACAGAGGAAACATTTGATTTACAGAGAACTCTTCATGAGGCACAATGGAAAGACAGACAGCCCCTCAACAGAATGAGGTTAGTTATACATGATATAGGAATAGTAAGAGCCTTTCCATTTGGCTAGATGAAGAATTCTGAATTACTCTAAAGCTTGCCTTTTTTTTCCCAGCAGAAGCAAATAAATCCTTGGGATCAAGGGCATGCCAACTTTTTACAAAGCCATTACATAGTTTCAGAGATCCTTTCACTCCCAGTCTGTTTCTTCTACTGGAAAGCCTTTCACCCTTAGATCTGTAGTCCACCCAGGAATTTTTCATGTCAGGTTACGCACTAGGTAAGACATGGATTGTTGAAGATCTGGCCCACTAACTTCAGTGGAACAATACCAGCCATTGAAGCTGCTTGGACCATCTCTTATTAAACTGGATCTTCATTGTTCCTAATAGGAAAGAGAGTCCCCATTTTGCACAGTTCCAGGCAGTCACTACTGTGATGGCTTGGTTCAGTTCCAGTCCATGGCAGCTGCAACTCACTGCCGTCCAAACTTTGAAGGACCCAAACCCACAGCAGGTGCAGTCCATGAATAGCAATGTTTGGGACTACTGTAAAACCATTTGAACTATATAAAGTAAAGAATATTATGAAACGGAATAGCATAATCTTGAAAAAAAAAGTCATGTACTAATATTCTCTTATCTGACATCATTTACTAACCTGCTTCCCAGATAAAAAAATCATGGTTGAATTCATAATTTTGGTCAGCGATCTTTCTGATATGAGTGATTAAAAACAACACAGGTGCTATACAGTAACTCTGAGGGAAGCATATGAGCACATGGTGTATTTTTGAATTTCTGGGTTAAGGATAAGGGAGAAATTGATTTTTTTTCATCTTTGTAGTTGTTCAAGGCAAGAGATGATTTTGGCACAATGTTCTGCACAGCCCTGTTTTAAAGAAATAGGAAGATGGGACAATCATGTCACATATGTACATAGCAAAGTTATCAAAAACAGCTAACGTTCCCATCACCAGAAAACACTCTGGATTACAATTTGTAATTAATGGATACAATTTAAGTGGTTTTCTAATTTTTTCTAATTTTTTCTAATTTTTAAGACTAATTTGATTTGTACCTGAAAGGGAACTACTAGTGCTAAATGGTTTCAATATTTGTAATTCCCTCACACCCTCGTTTATATCCAGTTCTCTCATATGTTCCACACACACAAACACCCATTTCAGTCAAAACAAGAATGAAACGAGAAAGACAGATGTTAAGGCAACGGACATATTTACAAAGTAATCCTATCAGAATTACTCAGAAGGGCCAAGGACGTAATTCAGAAGGAAAGCACCTGCCTTGCATAATGAAGGTCCCACGGTCAAACCCATCCACCAGAGGGGGTCCCAACTCCCTCAGAGTTACTGTAAAGCACCTGTGTTGTTTTTAATCACTCATATCAGAAAGATCGCTGACCAAAATTATTAATTCAACCATGATTTTTTTACCTGGGAAGGCAGGAATGTAAAATGTTCTGCTTGAACCCTTGAACAATAGCTGCCTCACTGTTTCGACAATGCACATGGGCTGATCCAACATAGGGCAGATTCCCACTGTCTTCAGGTAAGATTGTCACAGAAATGATGCCAGAAATACAGAATATAATCTAACATGGGGATAATTACCACTTTCACAGAAGAACCTACAGACCACGGACAAACTTGAATCCTGCAGACCACTTACACTGAATAGATTGTTTCTCCCTCAAGCATCTTGATGATGATATTTCAAATTATGGTTGTCTTACCTAGAGCTACTATATCTGGGCTGCAAAATCCACAGTTACTAGATGCAGCAGAGAGTTAGATAGTTCTGAATCTCTTGGATGCAATCTCATGTGAACCAGGTTACTGTGGTCCAAATATGCCACGTCTAGCCAGGCTGAAAGATCCACATCTCAAAATCTCCACATATTCCAGCATGGTCTAGTTGACATCAATTGTATAAGTCAGTTGCAATTTCATTGTAAACATATGTTAAGTAAGTCAAATACAAACTATCTCTATATAAGAACATTATTATTCCTGAAATTCATGCCCTGTAAATTGGCAGACTATAATCTGAAAGACCTTCCTTCCTTCCTTCCTTCCTTCCTTCCTTCCTTCCTTCCTTCCTT